TTCAGTGTGAAAGTTTTGAGTGAGGCTGGTGGCTGACCCTGTCAGCTGCTTCAAAGGGAAATCCCAGTGTGCAGTTACTGTTGGGTGGCCTGCAGAGAGGGAATTGCAAGCTCACCTGGCACTGGAGATGCAGCATTTCCCTTCTGCCAGGGCTGATGCCAAGGGGCTTGTGTTGAACCAGCCTCATTCTCACACTTGGGTCATTTAATTCCTTTCTTACAACACCCTAAACTACTTCTACTCTGGCTCTGGTTTAGTGATTTACCAAGGAACTCTAACATAGGTGCCTGTAACCTTTTACTCAGAGCAACACTAAAGGAATAATAACCCAGAACTGGATTAGTTCTGATGGCAAGGCTAGGGGGGTCAGTCTGGGGCCTTCTCCCCTGCCTCGTGGTCTCCTGTGCAGTGTTAATGATGCAGTTTTGAATTGTTAATTACTGTGAGCCATTCCAGTGGTAGCAACTTACCTTTCCATTTGTTTTTTTTTTGCACTGTTTTTTTTTGTTATGAAACGATGTAAGCTAATTCCATGGTGTATATAAATTGTATTTTTTTTAAATTTGTATGAATATATTTTTATTTGAACTCTATGGCACTTGGGAAGTATTCATGTGAACCGTAACATGTCAGAGAGTAAAATGTTTGTGTGTCTCCTTCAGCACTTTCAAGGCCTTTTGATGTTTCTAGTATTGTTTTATTTTTGCCCTTTTGATGTTTCTAGCGTTGTTTTATTTTTGCCCTTTATGATAATAAAACTGGTAGAACATGGCAACATCCAAGAGCATAATTTGAGGGAGCTGAGTAGTTGCTATTTATGAGCTGTCTGGATCTAACAGTTCATGCAGAGGGTGCCCTGGGATGGGCAGAGAGGAATTGTGTGTGATCCTTGAGGTTATGACCACTGTAATTCCACTTTCTCCCACAACAGCTGTATCAAAGGAGGGAATTTCCAGTGTTTGATGAGCTGAATTGTGCACATGGTGCTGCTTTCCTTACCTGAGAACTCACCTTCCTCCCAGTAAGTTAATGAAAGAGGCTCAGGGTGCAGCGTGGCACCTCTTGTTTTTCAGGGGGCTTCTCCAGGATGTGAAAAATCTTCATTTAAACCTTTATTTAGTTTATGGCTTACCTTTCCTGCTTTATTCTGCTTCCATAAAAATATTTTGTGACACTTTTTTGAGCTTTCATCACGTGCTTGCAGGCCAAAAATGTAAGTAACAGGGAACTCTGCTTCAGCTCTGTGCTGCCTTGGGTCATAAATGCAGGGATGTAGGAGGGAATGAGAGAGGTTTACAGACTCATTAAATCCACGTGTGTTCCTGTACCTGCACGTTGGGGCTCTGGCAGAAAAATTTCCAGCATCACAGAATACTCTGAGTTGGAAGGGACCCACAAGGCTCATCGAGTCCAGCTCTTGAATGAATGGCCCATTCAGTGAGATGATTATTTATTTAATTTTTGCTTTACTTCACCTTGTGTGCATTCCCACACAGGTGTGGCTCATGCAGCACACACAGGAAGGAGCAGGGGATGGCTGCCCTGGGTTTTGGCTCTGTGTGTGTGTGAGGGGAAAGTGAAGCTGCTCTTCTTGTCCAGGGTGCTGAAGTGCTTTCCAGCAGTGGTGGGATACACTCGGCCTCTTCTGCACCCACTGTGTGTTCACATGCAGTGTGTGGAAAGGGCTTGTTGGGAGCTGGAATGAGACTTCAGTGAGTTCCACCATCTGGGGAGGGAGGGGTATCAGTCTGTGAGGTTTGGATATTGGGATCGCTGATAAAAAGTGAGCAGGGTGTCCCTTCTCCGGGGACACGTGCAGGAATAAAGGCACAAATCTGTGTGGGCTGGGCGTGGTTTGACACACATTTCAATGATTCCTTAAGCATTTTGGAGCAGACACTGCACCCCACATGTACCGGGTTCAGTAGATGAACATAGAAAACAATACTGTGTTGACAGCTCACAACTCTGAACAGGTAAGTCAGGACAACCCTGAGCCCCTCGCTGACTCCCCCAGCCTGTACTAGAGAATATCTCTTGGGATGGCTGAACTTTCACACTGATTTTATCTTTCCTTTGCTTCCCCCACCCCAGTTCCCAGCACAGCAGGCCTGACTGCAGCATAGCTGCCTTCCCACCACCATCTGTTTTGTTAAAACTTCCCCTATTCCCAACTCTGCTGCTGTTTCTGTACAGGATCGTGCTGGTTTTCCCAGAGAGCAGTCAGGAGATGGTGAAGGGAGGGGGGGAAGGTCTTACAAATCATCCTTCCTTCCCACATAAAAGTAGTGGGACACACTTATCAAGCAGATGTCAATCAGCAAATGCCTTTGGGGCCCAAGATTCGGGGAAAGTAAATCAAGCAAGCTGGCTGTGGCCAGCCTGGGCTGTGAGCTGGCACAGCTCCCACCTCCCTGCAGCAGGGAGGGCGTGTGCCCTGCGCTCCACACATGAGTTCTTGGAGAAACAAAGCAGTGCTGACAGCTCCTCTGGGCATTCTTGTCTGCACACTTGGATTCCAGTGAAGCATTTCATCTAGTGGGGAGCTGGAAAGGGATAGTGCAGCGTCTGAGGGGCAGAGAAACCGTCACAGCCAGTCTGCAAATAAAGCCCAGGCCAAGCAAACTGCTTTTCCAGCCAGGGCTCGTGCCTTACAGAGCGTGTGGAGAGTGCTGGTGGGATTGCTGGGTTTCAGAGCTCAAAGGACAGAAAGCTGCTGGATTAGGCACTGCCCATCAGGGGTTCTGCCAGGAGCTGTTAGGAAGTGGGAATGAAGTTCTGGCATGGCAGGAGGTGGCAAATGTCATCAGAGCCGGGGGGAGGGTGTGAGCCTGGCCCTTCTCTGATCCCGCTGGGGTGTTCATCTGCAGGGTGGCTCTTCCCAAGGCTCTTCCCTGCTCTCTCTGATCCAGCCCTCATATCAGCAGTGGTGGCTTTTCCCTGTGCCTGTCCCTCTTCTGACCTGGCTGTGGGATTTCCCTGGGGGAGCTTTACAGCTCAGTGTGTTTATGGGAGCAGCAGTAAAAATCCAGTCAGAGGTGCTTTTTTCCTCGATTGCTTACCCTCAGCGAGGTTCTCCCAGGCCCCAGGGTCCATTAACTTACTGTCTGCCAGCCCATACAGACTTGTTCCACCAGGAACTGGCTTGCTGTTAATACTGGACCCACCTGGCTTCGGGTCAGGCAGCATCGACTCTTCTTGCCATTTTTAGCACGTTCCACTGAACTAATTAGTGTTTTGTGCCCCGAGGGGCTGACAGGGAGGGACAATTTACAGTGTCTGTGCAAGTTTTGCTTGACTGGGTAAAATTCAGTTCCAGCAAGAGTTGTTATTGTTTGAGTAAGTGGGTTGTTTTTACTTCCCCTAACAGCAGCACATGGGAAGTGGGGCTGTTGCCCATTGCTGGTGTGGAGGGATCCACCTGTGTGTTCCCATCTTGCTGCAGTGGGAAAGGGGTGCATTTGGAAAGCCTGTTTGAGAAGACGAAGCCCTGTTGTCCCCACAAAGGTTCCCCAAAGGGTGACTTCACACCCCCTCGATCTGTGAAACTGCCTGTGAGTAACTGCAGAGTCACTGTAGCTTTCACTGCAGAGATGTCTCATGGAAGCTGATGGGAGTTTATTCTGACAGTGAACCCTGTGTGGACACTGTTGCTCAGAGTATTTTGCCTTTAGCTGTCCTTGCTGGAGGGAGGGGCTCTGAGGTGTGGTCTCCTATTGGAGTGGAGCAGAATGATCCCCTCAGATTAAACTTCTATTCTTCTTCCCTAGGGAAGAACCACAAGGCCCACCACGCAGGGAGCACTCAGGTGCCTCCCAGGGGCCGTGCCAGTGGTGCAGGGAGGGACTGGCAGGGTGGCTTGTCAGAAATGTGTGTGGCATGAGCCCCTGTTCGAGGGATGCAGCAGCCTTGGCTGTGACAGGGGTGGTGGGCACTTGGATTTTCCCTTTCCCTGTGGTCCCTGAGAGCCTTTGTGAGCAGCTGTCCCAGCTCTGGAACATCTGCCTGGCACAGCCTGTCCTGGGCAGGTGCTGCTCCTCTCCCCCTGTGCCATTTCATCAGCAGAGTCAGAATGGGACTGTTCCAGTTGAGTCTGTCCTGGTGTTGCCTTCTCAGGCCCTGAACAAGCTTCCCAGGGTACTCCAGTACCTGGGAATGGACTGAGATTCTGGGAATGAGGCTCATGAGGTGCTCAAAATAGCCCAGTTCCCAGCAGTGTGTGTGGTCACAGGACAGTTGTGTTGGGCTGGGCTCGATGCCATTGTTGGGGCTGATGGGATTCCGAGCTGTTTGGTCCTTGGGATGGTCACTGAATGTGCTCTTGGCAATATCACCTTCTTTGTCGGGGGGGAGGATATGTTTTGGGTCAAATTCAGCTCCTAAGTGTGAAATCTCATTTAAAAAAGGCTAAATAAACCCTAAGCAGCCTTGCAGCGTTCCCATCAGCCCTGTCAGAACAGCTTTGTGAGAGGCTCTTCCCAGAAAGTGATAAATGTTCTGTACAAGCTGCTTTGTAATTGGAGTGATCCCACCGGCCCTCTCATGAGGAATACTCAAGGATTATTCAGGGAATCCTTCAAGAAATGCTGGGAATCAGCATCTCAGCCGTGTGCAGTGAGACAAGACACAGTTACTGATGTATCTTTCTGTTGATGCTCGTAACGTTTATTTGGCCAGTGCTAGAAAGCAAATACAATGAATTCCCTTTCCTCCCTCTGGTTATTTTGAAACTCGTGGAGTGTCATGATTTTTCTTATTTCTTTCCATGTAAATTTTGCTTACGTGGGGGATTTGTGGCAGTTCCTGTGATTGAATAATCTAAACCAGCAAAAGGACTCTCTTGATACTGAAACCCTGTCTATGTATGTTGGCCTTTCAATGTTGAACAAGCTTTCTTTTCCTGCTAATCTGTTAGAATTTCTTAGTGCAGATGGAAAAACTCTAGTGAAATACTCATTTTAGTTTCTACCAAGTTTATACCTTCTCTGTCTCGTGTAAGATCCAGCCTTGTGGGTACCAGAACACCACTAAAACTTAAGATTTTGACTTTAGGAAAATGCAAGAAAATTTAATGCAACAGACAGGAGAGAGGTCCAGCATACATGTCTAACGTGTTAGTTTTATTTAAAGATGGTCTCTTGGTGCTAGAGCAAGAAATGTTCTTTAAAAAAAAAAAAAATCAAATAAATAAATAAATAAATAAATAAAAATAGGAATAACTTTCTGTTGAGGAGCTTGGAAAGCATCTGGCTTTCATCTTGGGAGGAACAGGTACTGTAAAGCATTCTTCAGAGCAGGGAATAGGGAGGTTGATCCTAATTCCTCCGGGAACCTGCAAACCAAACATGAAATAAATGTTACTAAAATCTCTTTCTGTGCCACCGTTGGCAACAGTGCTTTTGAAAAACCAATGCTGGCTTAAATACACAGCTAAAATTAACTCTTTTCTCAAACTGTGTCTTCTTAAAGGTTTAAAAGGCTGCTCCTTCTCCCCTTTCATGGCCCGGGCGGGACTCACCATTGCAGCCCATCCCGCTGAGGGAGCCGATCCGGTCGATCCTCCTCCCGAAGCACCCGGAATCTCTCATCATCCTGGGCATCTGCAGCCCCCTCAGCCTCTTGAGGAAGGGCTCCCTGTAGGACAGGGGGGTGTTGGGTGCCAGCCTGGGCTCAACCTTCTGGTCCTCGCTGTCGTCGCCGAGTTCCGGGCGGATCTCCTCCTGGGCTTTGGGTTCTTGCAGGTCGGGGTTGGACTCCAGGGCTTCAATCATGGCAAACTTATCCTCCAGCCTCTCCAGCAGAGCCTGTAAGAGAAGGAGTAACTTCATGGAGCTCCTGGTTTTGTGAGCATTTGCTAACTCTTCCAGTCACCCCGTTCTGCACTCATCAGTAGTCCCACAGGCAGCCCCAGGGAGACTGTCGGGTTGGATGCCAGGCCCTTGAGCTCTGTCCCCTGCACTAAATCCCCATTCACAGCAATTCCATCTGTGGGAAGATACAGCTGTGAGCTGAATGAAGCTGCTTGACACCAAGTGTGTCTTACTGGCAAGGTTACAACTCTTGACAGAGAAAAGAAGCCCAAGGTCTGAGTTGCACAGCAGTGGCACAGCCTCAGAGAACTTTGGATCCATAGCCATGTTCTCAGAAGTTGCTGCTTGTCCCCCCCCCCCAGCTATTTCTATGGATATCATTTGCAGAAACTTGTTGTTTTCACTGATATCTGTCCCAGGGGTTACAGGATTGCTGCTCCTAAAGTAACCAAAAATACCCATGTGCTACATTAATGCCTGCTGAGTGATTGCTTCCTGGGCATCATTCTCCATAATTTGTACAGCTTTGTGTGACAGGGATCAGATAACCTCCTCAAGGGCAGCTCAACCAATTAGGGGAACCTAATTGCCCATCTCTGGAAGTAGAACAGAGAGGAGTGAGCCTCATGGCTTGCCTGACAGTAAATGCATTTGGAAGCCGCTCTTCTTGGCTGCTGGAAACAGCTCAGAGGCACAGGGTGGTTTTAGCTACAGCTAACACTGTCCCAGTATCTCAGGGAGTTTGTTCTCAGGCCCTGAGAACAGCTGTGAAAAGCTGGTCATTGGTACCAGATCAAGGAAAAGTTTGAGCTTTCAGATTTCATCTTGCAAGACCGAGTCTTAAGCTGCTGCTGTGCTGCAACAATAGATGTTCTCTGTCATTCTTTAAAGTTTGCACTTGGTAATTCTGTAGCTGTAATTCTATAGCTCTGGAAGCCTTCCTGGATGAGCCACACTAAATAATTACAGTATTCCTCTATCAACATTTCCAAAAGTGTGACTTTGGGTGCTCCACTTTACCTCCTCATCTCCCATCCATACACAAATCTCTCAAGTTCACGAAGCCAGAGCCCTGTATCTGCCCTCCTTCACTGCTCCTGCCCTTTAGTGGGGTAGAGAGGAGCCCACTTCAAAGTTTTCTGTTTGTTCTTATAGAGCAACTCTGATGATTTTCTGTCCCTCTCTGGAGCTTTGCTCCCAAGGAGATGGATCTTTAAGAGATCTTTAAGAGAAAAAGAACCAAAAACCCAAAGCACGCATCCCACAACGTGGCAATTTTAATTCCCAGTGCTGCCCAGGAGCTCAGGTGAACCCAGCACAGGAGGATATTGCCCTGCAGAGCTTCTCTGATGAAGAGCTAAGGCTTTGTCCCCTGGCAGGTGATGGCCAATGTGGCCACCGCTGTCTGACCATGCGAGGGGAAGGCAAAGCAACCCCTCACACCCTGCTGAGCACCCCCAAAGTTTAACCTCGAGAAGAGAGAGAGTCCTCACCTCCATGCTGGCCAGTTCTTTGGCAGGGCTGAGGCTGTAGATGGGGTTGGCTCTGCTGGACTGGAGCTGGATGAGCAGCAGCAAGAGGAAGCCACAGGAAAATGTGCCTTTAGTGTCCATGGCACCGAGTTCGTTGGGAATAGCGAAGTTCGAGCTGTCTCTTCTGAGATGTCCCTTCAGGTCTCTCTCTTCCTTGTCCTGTCCTCTCTCTTCCGAAGCTCTCCTCTTTTATACCCTTTGGGTGTGATCTCTGCTTCCTGGGTTATCAGGGGGTTTATCTTGGGCACATTCCAGTCCCACTGCAGGCATGCAGCTCTGTCAAGGGAAGATTCCCTTTATTAGCTGTCATTAGGCAGCAGCCGCCCGTGGCTGAGGAATGTATGTCACAAGTCAGTGATTTCATGTCACTCCCCCTCCTCTTGATACCAGGGCTGTGATTACACGGTCCGGTTGGAAATTCTTAGCAATTTTCTTTCAAGAATGGTCAGATTGACGGAGATGGGAAACAACCCCAAACTCTGCTCACTGAGAAGATTTCCATAGAGAAATTACCTTTTACAGGGCTTTTCAGATGAGTATTTGGTGAAGAGTAAAGGCTGAAGATAAATCTACTTTTAGGACACCCACAGCATCGTGCACACTTCCCTTCTATATATGGAATATGTGCGGCCACTGCACACCATGGACTGTGCTGAAAATCCCAGATTTGGGCCAACTTCTCTTTCCCCGCTGCTGTTGGGGTGATTTCACCCTTGGGACTTTGTGTTTTTGTGTTACCAACAGTGGCAGCACCTCCATCTGCAGCTCAGCAAGGACTGACTCTGCGGGGACAGCGAGTGCCTCCAGCCCCCACCGCCGAAAACACCGTCCCTGTTAACAGCCAAACCTGTAAATAATGGGATTTCTTTCAACATCGATGGTAAGGCTTGACCCTACAGCAATAACACTGAAAGGCCAGGTGGCCAAATGCAGGAATAATCTTTGTGTCCCCTCATACAAGAAAGAAACTTTCTCGATGAGAAATTTCAATTGACGGCTCTTGGTGTTAATCAGAATCTGGCCCCGGGGAAGAATGGGTGAATTTGTGTCTCTGTGTGGTTTGGGAGGGGTTAAAATGAAATCTTCCCTTTAATGTATTAAAAACCAAACGTATTTATTTATTTATTTGAGTGCAGGAGTTTTTTAAATTAGCTAAAAACTGTCTGTTCTTAAATTAAATACAGATTTGCTGAAAATTCCTCTTCCACGGTTGTCTTTGTGAATATAGTGCAACTAAAATTAAAGCTTTTTTTACAGAGGTGTGAGAGTTCTAAATTGTGAAGCACATTGTTTGCCCCACATTTTCCTAATGTTTCTTTTTATTTTAAATTGAAGCAAAAACACGTCTATAATTTGTTGACTTTTCATATGAATATAGATCTTGAAGGAATCTCCTGATTAGTTTCTAAATAATAAAACAATGATAAAATATTTCTCATGTCTTAAATGTTTTAACATGGTGTTTGTGTACAAACATGTGGACACACTGCTCACATGATCAGCTACCAAAATTATACTGGAAAGGACATTCCCAAGGTTGTGGAGTCATGCTCAGATGCTACTTTTTCCTAATATAGTCTGAATTCAGCCCAACTCTGTGTGTGTTCTGATGAAGCCCTTTATTATAAAAACTCCCTCTATTTTTCCTCCGTGCTTTCTTTTTTCAGTACATGGAGGAAATGCTCTTTTATTTGTATCACCCCAACACATTCTTGTTTTGTGCTGTTAAGAACTAAGATCCTGATAGCTTCTTTTTTTAATTATTATTATTTTTAATTAACACTCCATGATGCAGTGTCTGTATAATTCACTAATGAGTTACAATCATTCTCTTCCTGCTGCTCTTGGTGCGTGTGTGTTTGTTTACACCGAGGTGTAACTTTGTTTTGTAAGCTGCAAAAAAAAAAGTGTGAGAAGATAAACCAGAATTATTCATTAATATCCAGTTAATTAATTATCCAATTTAAGACAATTAATATCTGTTATTGCTGTATGTTTTGTTTCTTTCCTTTCATGCCCCCACACACTAAATATTCTCTAGTACTGTCCCTGCACAGAAACTTTCTATCACTTGCTCTGAGCTTTGCTTTGTGGGGGCTTTTTTTGTCTAGAAAAATATCAGAACTCAGCTCATTATTGTTTGTTTGTTTGTTTTCTCTCAGTGTCACCACCCTGGTAAGATGAATGTGAACGAAAGGCTTTATAGCCCCGCGATGGACAGTCGGGATCCAGGCACCGCCTGTGCTCAGCTGGGCATTTCCCCTGGAAAAGCCCCGTCAGGAGCCTTAACAGGACAGCAGGTTCTTATGAAAAGCTTGATGTGAGTGATTTTAGGGTTGGGAAACTGGCACTTTTCCTCAGGCTGGCAGGATGGGGGGTGTGGGATCATGAGGCTCCGGTAGAGCAGCTCTGGCTGCTCAGAGCAGTGAGGGGGAGCACCAAAGGTGCTGCTGCAGCCCGGGTGAGGATCCCTGCGGGCAGAAGGATGGAGGGAGCTCGGCTGAGGGTCACATTGCCCCTTCCCCTTGTTTTTCAGCCCTGTAAGGCTGAGGACTGTAAGCCTGGGGGTGGTGGATTCCTTCTGCTGTCCCTAAGTGCTGCCCCGACCTGCCGCACGTCCCTCCCGCGCTGTCCATGCTCCCACTGCCGTTCTGCGGCTGAAGAGTCTGAGCTGACAGTAAAGAACCTTTGCAGTAGCCTTTGTTCTGAGGAAGAGGCCGGATTTGGATTCCTTTCATCTCCCACTGATTAAACCCTCTGACAAAACTACACCATACCCCACCCAAGCTCTCTTTCCCTGCAGTTTGGTTAGATTGAGAAGGAAATGAAGAGACGAGGCAGTGTGAGAATCAAAAGGGAGATCCAAAAATGTCCATTAAATGTCCATCTGCCATACTGCAGTTAAGATAGTTAAAAGCGATGCCTCACTTTTTCCAGGGGGGGGAGAATTAATTTTCATCCCAAACATAGATTATTTCTCCCGGTGATCGGGATGTATTCTCTCTGTGTGGGGGCTGCCCCTTTCTTTGCTGGGCTCTCCAGGCTCAGTGCGGGCATCAGGGAGCTCCGGACAGGCGGGGAGAGCCCGGCAGAGCCCAGCAGAGCCCGGCAGAGCCCGGCGGAGCCCGGCAGAGCCCGGCGGTGCCGGCTCTCGGCGTGCGGGGCACTGGCGTCTGTCCCGGGTGCTGAAGCCCCGGCAGCCCCTCGTCCGCAGCCAAATGTATTTTTAAAGAGATGGGGTGTCCTCAGCGGCCCCCTCTGTGCCGGTCGGCCGTGCCAAAGCTGGCCTTGGCACCCACGGCACAGGGGTGCGTGTAGGACACCAGCTGGAATTAACCCCGAGCCCGGTGCCCACCTCCTGGGAGCATTCCCTGCCATCGGGAAAGGCTTCCCGGAGCTGGCAGCGGTGCCTGGCACTGCCTCTTCGCTGCAGCTGGAGGGTCGCGGGACTGATCATCGTCCTGGAAGGATGTAACCCCCATCCTTCCTGCTGCTGAGACCCTCCACGAAGGCTCGTCCAGACCGCGTGGGATGTTCTGGCCAGAGCCGGGACCGAGCCCTTAGGGCAGAGGGAGAAGAGCGCTCTGGAGGGGATTTCTGTATCATCTGACCGTGTGCTAGGCCATGACCGAGAAAAAACGAACAAAACACTCAGAGAAAGCAGTGCAGGCTTTGTACTAAAATGTATTGCTGAACGCAAATGAAGGAAGCTCACGCAAGGTGGGAGTGTTAATGTTGAGACAGAATAAGAGCAGATATGGGTGAGGATGTGAATCAACCTCGATTCTGTGTGTGCTAGAGACAGACAGGAATGGAGAGGGATAAAGCAGTGAGAGTGTACAGGATCTGTTTGATGACCAAGGGGAATAAATACAATTTAGCCCTCTAATAATAAACTAGTCAGAAATGAGTTTGGGTGAGACCAGATCTGGATTGCTTCCTGACATCACTTATAATCAGGTTCCCCAAAAGCAGACACATTTGAGAAAGATATATCTATGTTTATTTCTGCACAGGAGCAGTTTTATTGGAGGCTTTTCTCCTCAACCACTTCTGTAATTCTGGTCTGTAAATTCATGAACTGTTGCTTAGTGGAGATGGAAATGGCACAGCCAGAGATGAGCTTCCCCCATCTGACTGGCATCCTCACTTCAAAGCTTAGCTTTGATTATTGAAATGCTAATAGAACTCAGCAAATTACCTAAAGTACAAACACACTTGGCTTCAGTCCTGGGGATCTAATTATGAAGCCTTTTATGTGAAATAAATTGTTCTTGCTTTCTGAAAAGTGGCTTTTTAAAATGTTCCCACAAAATGCCAGGTGATGGGATGGCACATTACCAGCTCGGCCTCTATAATTGCAGCTCTTATCTGTTTCTTGTTCATCTTCTGGAGGATTCTGGTCACAACTGCTCACAGCTCAGACTTCAACCTCCTCTGACTGCTGTTATTTTCCTGCAAAGAACTTCAATGACCCACAGTTCACGTTAATGTAGCTGAGTTTGGAAACAAGCTGAGGATGTTCAGGAAACAAACTCCAGCAGCACTTACCCTTCACTGGATTTTCATTGAAATTTCAACGTTAGGAAGCTTTTATTCCTGTGAGAATGTCCCTGCTCTGAGGGTTACTGAGAGCTGGGAGCGAGGTTTAGACTCAGGATTAGTAGGAGGAGGGTTGCAACCTTCCCATTAACAACTGCCACAAGACACTGGTTCCTTAAAAGCAAGCAGGTCTGCTTCTTCTTAGCCTAAGCAAATTGTTAGTTTTAAGCCATGTATAGTCTATTGATATGGAATTGTGGTGAAAACGGCTTTGTTCTTTCATCTTCCATTCCTGACTTTGGGTCTCCATCTGAATGGTGAAACCCTTCATTTTCTTGTGATTTTTTGCTTGGGAAAGGCAACATGGAGTATAATAAATTCATTGCATTGTATGATGTATGTATTATATTCGTTCTATAATCCACTGTTGGAGAGCTTGTGCTCAGGGGTGTCTGTAGATCCCACTGAGTGTCTGTTCAGGGTATTTTCAGTGTTGCTGCTGCTTTGTTATTAAAGTCAACTTTAACAGATTAAGTAGCAAACAGCATAAGACCTAACCAAGACTGTTAACCAGAAAAGCCTTCAGGATATGCTTCTGAATTTTCTGCTCAGTGCTTTGAACTACCTGCATCTGCCTATGGAAGAGTAGGGTGCCCTTGGACTTCCTTCAAAGAAGGACAGTATTATTTTTGTTTAGGTTTTATTTTTTTTTTAAGTAAGATATAATAGGAAGAAACAGTTGTTTTCCTCTGCCAGTGGCAGGTCTAAATGCAGACTTGCTGTTTCTACTGATGCCACCTAAGAGAGCTGCCCTTAGTGCAAACTGTGGGGCAAAGACTTTGGGGCTTTTCGTGTCCTGATTGCTGATTACCAGACAGCAGCCCCCTGAAATGCTCCTGAATTCCAGTGGATTGTGTCTAACTGCAAAC